ACTGTATAATAATGATCGAATATGGGTCTTATTTTGATGAAATGAATCCAAAAGCCAAGTACTAATTGTGGAAGCTGAGGTTGGCATTGCATCGGATAGGTCGGTAAAGGAAGCAGGAACGGCGTCAAGGTAGGTGAATATTGTATGTAAGGAGGGTGAGATAGCTTGATGGAAAGCGATTTGATTTAATATGATCCAGCGAAGCAAAAGATCCTTAAAGACATCAGGATTAAAGGCAAGGTTTGGAAACTGTGGTTGTGGTTGTATGGTGGTGTTGAGATTTGAAGTAGAAGACTCAGTTGAAAGAGGCTGATGCAGAAGTCCTGGTCGATTAAAGCCATAAGAACGAACAAGATGGTCAATCATGTTCTTTGTTGTACTTTCAGCATAGGTTTGTGCTATTTCTGGATCTGGCCCTATATTTAAATTAGGAATTATATAGATATTAATTGAAATAAACTCTAATACTTGCTTACATCGAGAATATCGCCAATGTTCTTTTATTTTTCCATCAGAATCAACAACTTGATATGCTGTACCATTTTCTGGTTTCCGTACCCAGCTTGTTCAACTCCTTGAACGATACAATAAATTGTCATTAAGGGGGGTCATTGAATAGCTTTCTGGTATTGTCGATGTAGGTGAATTCGTATTAGAAGAAAGCTGTGGATTAAAGCTGATTGTGGATGATGAATGGGAGATTTGAATTTGATCATATGAAGGAATAGGTTCTTGAAGACTGAAATTAGAGCTCATAATGAAAGATAGAATAAAAAAATAATGATGAATGAGTTGTATTGAAAGTTGAAAGTAGTATGATGAGATCTAAGTCTCAACTATTTAAATTCAAAAAACGGAGTAAATGGATTTTAATTGGTATTTTAAGTTCTTATTATTATTTTTATTCCAATTAAATTTTAATAAACTTAAAGATTTTATTTTTAAATATGAGAGGTATAGTTATTAAGGCAATTGTTTAAGTAATATTAATTCTAGGAAAAGTTTTTTTTAATTTTATTTTTTATATAAGAATAATGCGGAGTAGGAAAAAAAAAAAAACAAAAACAGAAAATAACATTCATATCTCATTATCATCTCCTTCCTCCTCCTCCCCATATCTCTCTTGATACCAGAGTGGTATCTCTGTTATTGGAAATGTTGGAATCTGGGTTTGTTCTGTATAGTAGTCAAAAACAGATTGATGTGTATACTGAACTATACTAAACCGATTTCCTGTCCATTTTCCAATATAGTGTAGAAGTAAATGAGAACCCAAAAAGATAATACTTTCTAAAATATTATATTAGTTTTTAGAAGTATATCAAGAAATAGAAATCCTACCAGGTTGAAAGGTCATCTTAATTCCTAAAGTAGGCAAACAAAGATGTCTATTTGTAAAGTTTCCTAAAGGAATCAAAACACAGAAGCCTAAAGGAACATCCTTTAGATCAACATGGACATTGGTAAAGGTAGATAAAACTGTTCCTCTTGAGGTCCAAATACCAAACCATTCCTTTTCCTTCTTTGCAAGATAGGTTTCTGGCAGGACGTTATAAACCTTCATATACTTATCATAAAAATCAGGAAGAAGTCATTGAAATAACTTCTCTGTCAACTGAGTTAAAGGATAGATTGTTCGAAGATAGTTCTTCAAGTTCTCTGCCCTTCCTCTAGTTGAATCCCAACCTCATTAGGTCCTTGATGAAGTTTAATTTCTTGAATAGTGTGATCGTTCCTTGCAGTATGATAACCGTGAATGTTGATACAACGGCTTTTGGTCTCTGGGATTAGAACTGTTGGACCACCTTGGTGGAGATTTTCTGAATTGGATGGTTCGTCCTTGGTGGTTCTAGTTTTGTGCCGTTGATTATCATCAGAAGCTTTAGGATCTGTTGCAAGATAACAAAAAAGACCAGTAGTTAAGGTATCGAGGAATTCTTGGGAAATAGCAGTTTCTTCTGGTTTTGGATTTGGTTTCATCATGGATCCAACCTTAATTGCAAGGATTTCACCTGATCGATCAGATCTAAATAAAATATAAGTTAATAAATATAAATTCTTTTTTTTAAAAAGAAAATTAAAAATTAGATTCATACCCATTACCAGAATTATCATGGATTATAACATTAACATCATCAATTAAATGAAGTAATAGCTCATTTTCAACTTCAAAACCTGACTGCTTGGACTGTGGAGGTTGAGCCTTTTTTGCCGTCTTCACAGTATCTGACAAGTTGAAGCTTGAAATTGTGACATTGGAAAATATTTTTTCCATTTGCTGTTTAGCATTCCTCTGTATGTTTTTGAGTGAGGTACCGGTAAAGGTAAGTAGTATATGGTCATAGGTTTGGTTGTCTGGATTATAAAGCCCAGTGGCTTTAAGATAGTGGCTCTATTTTTCAACTCGTGTTCTTTTTGAACTCTCTATTCTTCTAGTCAGAAATAAAATTAAATAATAGATTTTAAGAAAAAAAGAAAACTTACCTGAATTGGAGCTGTCAGAATCTTGACCCTTAAATTCTCTCTTTTTAATTGAATTATCCATGATTGTTTTCTTACAGGTTGTCCAACCCAGTCTTAGAGTGTCCACACTAAAACACAAGAATTCAAAAATAGATAAAGTAAAAAATAGGAGGAGAAAGGAGGTAATAATAAAGCTGAATAGGAAGGGAAATAGAGGAGCTAAAAGAGAGGAGGGGATAAGGGGGATGAGAGGGCTGAAGGGGAAGCAAAGGAACTGGAGGAAGAGGAGTAAAGGAATGGGAGGAAGAGGAGTAAAGGAACTGGAGGAGGAGTAAAGGAACACGAGGAAGAGGAGTAAAGGAACCGGAGGAGGAGTAAAGGAACCGGAGGAAGAGGAGTCAAGAGAAAAGGTGTGGGAGAAAGGAGGGGTAGAAACTTGAAAAGGGGTTTGCTGAGAAAAAAAGGTAATAACATAGCTGAGTCTCTGAGCCTGAGCACCGTCGGACGGCAGTCGACGCCAGTCCACCCCGTCCAGGACGATGCCAAGCCAGTCCAGACGGGCTTGGCATCGCCCTGGACGGGGTAAGACTACCACAGTCGGACGGGCGTCGACTGCCGTCCGACTGGACGACTGGAAGCACTGAATCTGAGCATATACTCAACGAGTAGAGTGCGCGATGGAGGTCAATTCTCATATGGAACTCGGCTATTACCCTATTATACTCGTACTCCGGCCGGCCCTTTACACGCGCAAGCCCCGGATTTGGCGAGGCTATAATGTATGATATCTAGTCTCGTGAGCAAGCGCAAAGCCTAATGCGGTGCGGCTCGTCTCACTCTCTGAGAGAGTGATGCCTAAGGCACTCCCTCAGTATCCCCCCCAGTGATGACGGGCGAAGGTACAATAACATACTGTAACTAACACGCGTATCAGTAAGAGTCTAAATTTTGCACATCTGCCAAAGGTGTTTGTTAATTTGTGTCAGACAATGAGATGAGCTGAACAAACATTTTCCACTCATCCACCAGTCAAGAAAATAACGAATGCCATAGATATTTCTCCCTTTGCAAAACGCCTTCTTTGTGGATCGGGGCCCAAGAACCATTTTTTTTATTTTCAGCCTGAGACCTCTATCCTATTACGTTACGGTGCCCAGCAGAAGGCGTCGGCGTTCCATTGGTTCCTCAAAACCGTGCGCAGCTCTAATATGATATCGTAGAAGCAAGGCTCCCCACAGCCGGAGCTCCGCGAGAGGCACGTCCTGTGGCATGATTGGGAACCCCCTGGCACATGGCACGATATAACACACCCCGGGGTTACCTCAAACCCTATAGACACAATATAATATTAGCTGGGCGTGTGTATGGTGTGGCTTCTGCTTCGTCCTTCTTTCGCTCCTTGGTTGCTGGCGTTGTGGAATGTTTGAACACTTTTCATCAACATTAGCGATTTCTATATTGTTTTTCCGGTGGGCAGGGTGGGCGCTGAGGTCGTGCTTGG